TCTGGCAATTCTCCTGCCTCAGCCTCCCGAGCAGCTGGGATTACAGGCACACGCCACCATGCCCAGCTAATTTTTTGTATTTTTAGTAGAGACGGGGTTGTGATACCTTTTTTCTTGTACCAAATCTGTAGTTTGCTGAATACCAAGCCATTCTCCAATACCAACTCACTGACTAAAATTTGAATTTGAATTCTGACACCATCCAGATTCAGCACAGACCCTATCTCACAACATTGTCCTAATGGCAGACCCCAGTAACAAACCCCATAGGCCTATCTATGCTTCTGAGCTACTGTTTAAAAATTGTGGACTCCCGTAACCTCTCTCAAGTTTTATAATTTGATAGAGCTACTCAAACAACTCAGCAAAGCACTGTAGATACATTTACCAGCTTACTATAAAAAATACAACTCAGAAAAAGTCAAACATAGAAAACATGGCCAGGCATGGATGCTCATGCCTGTAATCCCAGCATTTCAGGTGGCCGAGTTGGGTGAATCACCTGAGATCGGGAGTTTGAGACCAGCCTGACAAACATAAAGAAACCCTGTCTCTACTAAAAATACAAAAAATTAGCCGGGCATGGTGGCGCATGCCTATATTCCCAGCTACTCGGGAAGCTGAAGTAGAAGATTCATTTGAATCTGGAGGCAGAGGTTGTGGTGAGCCAACAACGTGCTATTACTCCAGCCTGGGCAACAAAAGTGAAACTGTCTTAAGAAAAAGAGGAGAGGAGAGGAGAGGAGGGGAAGAGAGGGGAGGGGAGGGGAGTAAAAGGGGAACCGGGGAGGGGGAGAGGGGAGAGGAGGAGAGGGGAGAAGAATAGGACAAAGAAAAAATGGAGAAATAGATAATTCTCATAAACAGCTGTGATTAATAAAATTCTCTATCCTTTGTGTTCTCCAGAAACAGTTTCCGGAAAGAAACATGCTTTCCTCTATGACTTAACTGGTGTTCTTTTTCTTATCTATCACATAGCCAGACACAGACTCTGCACATTTTCTTCCTGTTCTCATTTTTAAAAATTGGCCGAATTTTTCTTCAGTGGTCAAAAGAAAATACTTTTTAATCAAACTTCAGTTATGTTGATTTCCAGCCCACAGGCTCCTGAACTTTCAGCCACTCCATTTGAGTCAAAATACAACACGTTATGTCCTTCCTAAAAACATGCTGACTTCAGGGTAAAACATGAATGTGAGATATAGCTAGCCTAGAGTTAGAACCTGTACACTGCCATCTTATAAAGGACAAAACTGTTTCCATTCTCCTCACAAGGACTGCTTACCTTGGTTTCTGCAAAACTGCTACATTACTTTGCAAAAAGGTAAAGCTGCATAGTTTCTCCGTAACTACCAGAATTGCTGGCCTTTGATCATCAGTAATGGCCAAGAGTAAGACCCCCCGAATAATTCCAACCTGGAGCCAAGTAACTCCCACCCAGACGATGTGTAAGCAAATGGTTATCTTAAGTTCTGCAAATCTCTCTCCTAGCCCTCAGAATGTCTGGAACCCATCACCGTCCTCTCCTACCCAGGAGGTAATTTACAGTCCACCGAGATATCTAGGTGGGATGAAGGTTTTCTTTCATTTCTGCTCCTTCCCCCCATCTCCCAAAAGTAGTTTAGTGGGTATAAAAAGGTCTTATCTCTCTTCTTTCGGGGCCACGGGTTGGAGAGACGTGAGTCCTCCGTGGTCGCCGGCAATAAACCCTGCAATTTGGCATACTTGTGTTCTGGTGTTGACTTTCTGTGCTTAGTTCAATGCAACAAATGTAGAATCTGATCTTTTCACCTCTCATTTGCTATTTACCTTCTACCTTCTTTGTAATCTTATTTGTTCCTTCTGATAAAGAAGGCCCTTGTTTGCCCAAATTTTGCAAATGTTTACAGATCTTTTATCAGGTATTCTCTTCTTTGCAATACTCCTTTGGAATTTATTTATTTATATATTTGATGAAGTCTCACTGTGTCACCCAGGCTAGAGTGCAATGGAGTGTTCTTGGTGTAGCAGGAGCGGCCCCAGGAAAGGATCTCTCGGACACCGAATACAGGAGGAAGGACTTCATTTCAGCGGGGAGCAAGGTGGCATAGGTGCCTAACATCCAAACTCGTCTAACAAAGGGAGGTTCAGCCTGCATATAGGCTTATACTTTAGATGTCACACATGGAAGAATCTTAGGTTTATAGTTTTAGGACTCACATGTGAAAAGGTTTCAGTTTATAGTTTCGGAATTACATATGAAAGGGTTCCCGTTTACAGTTTTAGGACTCACATGTGAAAAAATCTCTGTTTACAGTTTCAGGAATTACATATGAAGGGGTTCCAGTTTACAGTTTTAGGACTCATCTGTGAAAAGGTTTCTGATTTGATCTTGTTTTAAGTAAAAATAGTGCCTTCTGGAGAGTTTCCCCAAGGTCTAGCCATTGTTTTCAGAAAAGAAATTCAGGAGGCACCAGCTGGCCTAATCTGTCTTCTATTGAGATGAACAGTGGAAGACAGAGGGGGAAGAAATCCAAAATGTCTGGGTCTCCCTCCTCATAGGCTCACTGCAAACTCTACCTTCAAGGTCCAAGCAATTCTCCTTCCTCAGCCTCCTGAATAGCTGGGACTACAGGCCTGTACCACCACACCCAGCTAATTTTTGTACTTTTAGTAGAGTCGGGGTTTCACTATGTTGGCCAGGCTGGCCTTGAACCCCTGACCTTCTGATCCACATGCCTTGGTCTCCGAAAGTAATGTAATGACATGTGTGAGCCACTACTCCCAGTTGGAATTTAATTTAAACATTTTTAAATTAATTAATTAATTTTTTCTTAAAAATGTAGATTTACAGTGTTGGTCAGAATGGTCTTGATCTCCTGACCTCCTGATTTACCCACTGCCTCCCAAAGTGCTGAGAGTACAGGCATGAACCACTGTGCCAAGCCTGGAATTTAATTTTGTTACATAAATCAAACTTTGCTTTATTTTAAGCACTCTAGAAACTGCTTCAAAACAATAACAACTTCATCTTCACAAAAATTCTACCAGTTCTTTTTCTTCTTGACCTTAACTGCATTGGCCTGTGGGTCCCCAGTTTTCCAGGGCTCTGTAGCTTTTTCTCACTATGGAAAGAGTGTTCCATGACTGGGGTGAGTAGGCTGGACATAAGCAAGGGAGGCTCTTCAGAAAACAATTGGGCTGTTAATAACCTTCTTTTGGAGGTTCAATATTAGCCTTAGCTTGAAGGCACTAGGCTCAAGCTTTGATTTCCATGTCACAGTTGTGTAACTTGGTTTTTGAAACTACCTGTGTGAAAAATTCAGCAACATTATTCAAACAGTGTTCATCTAAAGGGATAAAATTATAAGGTGCTTACATTTTACACCTCAATGAGAAAAGCAAAAGTATCTAACCCTTTCAGACAGTATATGTCCTATTATAAATTTTTCCATTAAAAATCATGTAGTAAACAATTAGTCATATGGAAACATTTCTAGGAGGTACCAAGTTTTATCTCATAAAATTTAGAATGAAACACAGAAGATAAAAGGATAAAGAACAGAGATATTTACTGTCACAAATTAACTCTGCAAAAAAAGAAAGTTATATTTTTATGACTCAACACAACTCACCAGTGGTCTACCACATTTTCTTGTAAAAAAAATTTTTTTTCTTTTTTTTGAGGAGTTTTGCTTTCATCCAAGCTGAAGTAAATTTGCAAAATCTCGGCTCTGCAACCTCCGCTGCCTGGGTTCAGGCAATTCTCCTGCCTCAGCCTCCCCAGTAGGTTGGATTCTAGACTCCATGACCACACCTGGTTAAATTTTGTATTTTTAGTAGAGACGGGATTTCGCCACATTGACCAGGCTGGTCTCAAACTCCCAACCTCAGATGATCCACTGGCCTTGGCCTCTGAAAGTGCTAGGATTACTGTGTGCCGTAGGTAACCCAGAGTTAGAACCTAAGCAATACCATCTTAAACCCTGCACCCTGCAAGCACCAAGAAAAATAATTTTTCCAAAAATAAGTTGTAACTGCTGCCCTGTTCCTTTGTGATAACTGCTAGCTGCCCCGTTTTCCTTGTGATAACTGCTGGCCTTGGTTTCTATAAATAAAAACAGCTAGCTTGCTGTGAAAAATGCTGATTGAAAAGAAAGAGAAAAAAAAAAACAACTTTCAATTGAAATGTTTGACTTGCAGCTCTCCACCAGGGACTACTTAGAATTTCCCCGAATTCCAGGAAGCCCACTGTGTAAAGCTGCTTGCCTTTGCTTATCACAAACTGCCAGAAACAGCTTCTGTAAAGTTGTTTGCCCTGCAACCCCTCATCCTCCTGGTCCTAAAACCAGGATGTGGTTTTTCAGATTAAAAACCTTGCTTCCCCTGAGCTTGGGGCCCCGGATTGGAGAGACGTGCGTCCTCCGTGGCCTCCAGCAATAAAGACCCTGCAATTTGGCATACTTTTGTCATGGTGTTGATTTTCTGTGTGCTCACTCCAGTACAACTGGCTTGAGCTACAGTGCCTGGCTGGCAAAGTATTCATTTTCTACAGCCAAAATGAGGGAGAGATTTCCCTATTGTTTTTCTTGGTAGCACTTTAAAAAGGAAGCCTTGGAATTCGGCTTGAAATCACTCAGTCATAAAAAACATTTCTGCAATAACTCCCATCAATTTTTAATAGAAGAAAAGAGAAATCTGAGAACCCCATAAACCAAACCAAAGGGCTTCTCATTCATGATCCGCACCCTGAGTCAGGAATCTCCCCTGACGACCCTCATGTGGTCCCTGGGAGGGACAATATGGAAGAGACACGGCGCTGCGGGTGCAGAGCTGCCCAGAGAGGGCTCCAAGTACAGTCGCTGCTCAGCTGCAATTTTATTGCTAAACGGGACTGAGGCCGAGTTGGGCAAGAACTCGGGACACGGATTTTGGAGCTGACTGCGGGGAGGCCTGAGTGCGCGGCCACTTTACACCGGTTCCAACAAACCCCTTCCCTGAGGTCGGACCCGCACTCACACCATTTCTTGATTTCCAGGGGGTCCTGGCATCTCAGCTGTGGATCTCCAGTACCAGCACATCACAAGGCCACAGAGGCTGGACCTATAGTAGCAGAGGACACAGGACAGCAAAGACGACACCTAAAACTCTAGCTGCAGCAAGACACAAAGCCGCCGCCACATCGCAGAAGCCGCCTTTTCCGCCCCAGCTGCGTGCCTGATTGGATGCTTCTCACGGCAGCGTCGCTTATTGGATAAGGTTTAAGACCCAAGACCTGAGTGACAGAAGACATGACCAAATGCTGGCTGACCGAAGAAAGAGTGACAGCTGAAGGTGCAGCCTTTTCAGGCAGGACTTCCTCCCTGAGCTGAGCCAGGCCCACCCAGAGGGTGTTTGCCTTTAGCCTTGTTCATAAGGTCGCGTGTATTTGTAAATTATGTACTATATGGCTGCTTACACATTAAAATAATAGAATAAAAATTATTTTTTAAATTGCAGTTTTTTTAACCTTCCTGGCTTCTCGTCCTTTTGCTGTAAGCGAGCGAGTACCGAATCACCACTGAGACCAAAGTAAGCCAATTCACAGGGTAATTTATTGCCAGCGACCACAGAGGACTAGTGTTTCTCCAACACGTGCCCCCAAGCTCAGGGGAAGCAAGGGTTTTAAGCAGAAAACCCACATCCTGGTGGGGCACAGGGTTCTTTTTTTAGCAATCAGCGTTATGTAGAGCAAGCTAGCTATTTTTCACAGAAGCCAAGGTCAGCAGTTACTGTGTGACATGGTAAAAGCCCCATAAAACTACATACCTCAACCATACCTGGCTTTCTCTTGAAACTGCTCTCTGGAACCCCGATGTGACAAGCAAGCAGTCCAAACCCACGCCATCTTGGCCCCTGTGACTTGTAATAAGTAACTAAGGTCTGTAATTTCCATTCTACCCAGGCAATGTGTAAACTAATGCTTATCTTGACTTCTGTGAACCACTCAAGCAACAATCGGAATATCTGAAGTCCCTCACCCTCACCCCCGCCCAGGAGGTGGTTTATGGGCATAAAAGGTCTTAACACCCTCCTTTCTGGGCCATGGATTAGAGCGGCAAGAGTCCTCCGTTGCTGCCGGCAGTAAAGACCCTGCAATTTGGCATACTTTTGTATTGGTGTTGACTTACTATGCTCACTCTGGTATAACAGTTGCAAGAAAAACGGGGCAGCAAGCAGTTATCATAAAGAAAATGGGACAGCAGTTACAACTTATTATTGGAAAAACCGGTTTTCTTAGTGCTTGCAGGGTGTGGGGTTTAATATGGCGTTGCTTAGGTTCTAACTCTGGGTCAGCTATGGCACAAAAAGACCGTTGGTTCAGAAAACAAGATCTTCTGGTTCTGGACTCTGTAGCTGTCTTGGGTAGGGGACTTTTGCCAGCTCTGTGCTTTCATTGAGCCTAAAGAGAGGGGTCACCCGGAAGGGACTCTGAAGCCAAGGATAAGAGTTCTATGTTCCTGCCTCCCCAGCTCGCTTTCCAAGAGGAGATATTGGACAGCAAAATTTCTTTCTTTCTTTTCTTTTTCTTTTCTTTTTTTTTTAATTTCTTCATGCAGTGACTCAGATATAAGCAGCAAAGTTTCTTAACAAAGTCAGAAAAAATAATATTCAGACCAGGCAAGCTAATAAATGCTTACCAGGATTATCTGGCCTAATCATGAAAACAGCCCTGCCTATTTGTCCTCTGGGACAGGTTAGAAAAATGAGGTGGAGGAGGACACAAGCACTGTGAGCCTGGATGGGGCACTGGCAGCCTGGAACCTCAGAGGTTCCGGCATTCACCGCCCTCTAACCCCCTTTTCTCCCTCAGTCCCCAAGAGGCTTCATTTCCACACATTCCCAGCTCATTCACTTGTCAATAGCTCAGGACCTGGGGTCACTAGCCCTCCCTCAAACTCCAACTGCCCAGCACCCCCAGCTGTTCAGGTGGTGGCCTCCCCCTGTGTGGTACCAGGCAAGGGATGGTGCTGTCTGTGCTTCCCTTCCTCAAGCTGTGAGTGGCCTCTTCCCTGGGGGAAAGACCCTCCTCATCTCTGAGCACCATGACCACCAGCAGCTCCACACCTGTACCCTCTGCCTGGAGCTGGGTGCACACACTAGGGGTAGATAAATCCCTTAGCCCAGTGAGCTTGACAGCAGGGTTGGGGCAGCAGGGGCTCCGGAGGGTGTCACCACCTTAGGCTGTCCATGGCCTGGCAGAGGCTGTGCTCAGCTGATATCCTCACATCCGCCCTCCAGACTTCGGCCTCTGACTTTGGCCAATCTGGCCACGATCTGGGGTCTGGGGCCGGGATTATGGGCACTCCAGGTCACGACTCTCTGTGGCCCTTTCCATTTAAGTGGAGACCCTGCAGCTCCAGGTGCCACAAACCAGTGCCCTTGCCCTTGCTGTTAATTTTAAGGAGGGGCGGCAGCAGAGCCAGCGGGCAGGCACGGTAGGGAAGATCACCCGCCGGCGCCTTTTTCCATCCAGGCGCCCTTTCCAGTCCCCGGGTTTCCTGAGGGGCCACCCCTCCTCCTCCTGCTGCTCCCTCCCCACTCGCTGTTCTCCCGCACCTCGGGGCTCCTTGGCCAGGCCCCAAGGCAGGGCGACTTACGACGACCACTGGCAGGGACAGCGGGGGCAAATTTCCCAGAGCAAAAGACGGCCCCAGCCTGCTCCACAGCAGGGATGGCTCCGAATCTGAGCCCTCGACACCTGCTCCATCCACACCCCTGGTGGCTCTCTGCAGGCCTGCTCCGCTCCCGCTGGGTCCCTCTGACTGGGGACCTCTCTTTTCTTTTTAATCAATCTGGCTAGTGGTCTGTCTATTTTGTTGATCTTTTCAAAAAACCAGCTCTTGGATTTATTGATTTTTTGAAGGGTTTTTCGTGTCTCAATCTCCTTCAGTTCAGCTCTGATCTTAGTTATTTCTTGTCTTCTGCTGGGTTTTGAGTTTTTTTGATCTTGCTCCTCTAGTTCTTTCAATTTTGACGTAGGGTGTCAATTTTGGATCTCTCCATTCTCCTCATATGGGCACTTATTGCTATATACTTTCCTCTAGAGACTGCATTAAATGTGTCCCAGAGTTTCTGGCATGTTGTGTCTTCGTTCTCATTGGTTTCAAAGAACTTCTTTATTTCTGTCTTCATTTCATTGTTTACCAAGTCAACATTCAAGAGCCAGTTGTTCAGTTTTTATTAAGCTGTGCGGTTCTGGGTTGGTTTCTGAATTCTGAGTTCTAACTTGATTGCACTGTGGTCTGAGAGGCTGTTTGTTATGATTTCAGTTGTTTTGCATTTGCTGAGGAGTGCTTTACTTCCAATTATGTGGTCAATTTTAGAGTAGGTGTGATGGGGTGCTGAGAAGAATGTGTATTCTGTGGATTTGGGGTGGAGAGTTCTGTAAATGTCTATCAGGTTTGCTTGCTCCAGGTCTGAGTTCAAGCCCTGGATATCCTTGTCTATTTTCTGTCTGGGTGATCTGTCTAATATTGACAGTGGAGTGTTAAAGTCTCCCACTATTATTGTGTGGGAGTCTAAGTCTCTTTGTAAGTCATTAAGAACTTGCCTTATGTATCTGGTGCTCCTGCATTGGGTCCATATATGTTCAGGATCGTTAGCTCTTCTTGTTGTATCGATCCTTTTACCATTATGTAATGGCCTTCTTTGTCTCTTTTGATCTTTGTTGCTTTAAAGTCTATTTTATCAGAGATGAGAATTGCAACTCCTGCTTTTTTTTGCTCTCCATTTGCTTGGTAAATCTTCCTCCATCCCTTTATTTTGAGCCTTTGTGTATCCTTGCATGTGAGATGGGTTTCCTGGATACAGCACACTGAAGGGTTTTGAATTTTTATCCAATTTGCCAGTCTGTGTCTTTTGATTGGTGCATTTAGTCCATTTACATTTAGGGTTAATATTGTTATGTGTGAATTTGATACTGCCATTTTGATGCTAAGTGGCTGTTTTGCCTGTTAGTTGTTGTAGATTCATCATTATGTTGATGTTCTTTAGCATTTAGTGTGATTTTGGAATGGCTGGTACTGGTTGTTCCTTTCCATGTGTAGTGCCTCTTTTAGGAGCTCTTGTAAAGCAGGCCTGGTGGTGACAAAATCTCTGAGTACTTGCTTGTTCGCAAAGGATTTTATTTTTCCTTCACTTCTGAAGCTCAGTTTGGCTGGATATGAAATTCTGGGTTGAAAGTTCTTTGCTTTAAGAATGTTGAATATTGGCCCCCACTCTCTTCTGGCTTGTAGAGTTTCTGCCGAGAGATCTGCTGTGAGTCTGATGGGCTTCCCTTTGTGTGTGACCCGACCTTTCTCTCTGGCTGCCCTTAGTATTTTCTCCTTTATTTCAACCTTGTTGAATCTGACGATTATGTGCCTTGGGGTTGCTCTTCTTGCGGAATATCTCTGTGGTGTTCTCTGTATTTCCTGCATTTGAGTGTTGGCCTGTCTTGCTAGGTGGGGGAAATTTTCCTGGATGATGTCCTGAAGAGTATTTTCCAGCTGGGATTCATTCTCTTCGTCCCCTTCTGGTACACCTATCAAACGTAGGTTAGGTCTTTTCACATAGTCCCACATTTCTTGGAGACTTTGTTCATTCCTTTTTGTGCTTTTTTCTCTGATCTTGGTTTCTCGTTTTATTTCATTGAGTTGGTCTTCGACTTCAGATATTCTTTCTTCTGCTTGGTCAATTCAGCTATTGAAACTTGTGCATGCTTCACTAAGTTCTTGTATTGTGTTTTTCAGCTCCTTTAATTCATTCATATTCCTCTCTAAGTTATCCATTCTTGTTATCATTTCCTCATATCTTTTTTCACGTTCCTTAGTTTCTTTGCATTAATTTAATACATGTTCTTTTAGCTCACAAAAGTTTCTCATTATCCACCTTCTGAAGTCTAATTCTGTCATTTCATCACAGTCATTCTCCGTCCAGGTTTGTTCCCTTGCTGGTGAGGAGTTTTGGTCCTTTCTAGGAGGCGAGGTGTTCTGGTTTCGGGTGTTTTCCTCCTTTTTGTGCTGGTTTCTTCCCATCTTTGTGGATTTATCCGCTTGTCGTCTGCCTAGTTGCTGACTTTTGGATTGGGTCTCTGAGTGGACACCCAGATTGTTGATCACGAAGTATTTGTGTTACTTGGTTTTCCTTCTACCAGTCTAGCTCCTTCGCTGTACAACTGCTGAGGTCCACTCCAGGCCCTGCTTGTCTGGGGTGCACCTCTAGCAGCTGTGGCACAGCGAGGGATGCTACCAGTTTCTTTTTCTGCTATCTTTGTCCCAGAATGATGCCTGACAGATGTCAGTCTTTTGGATATAGAGGCGTTAGGGAGCTGCTTGATGAGACAGTCTGTACTTTATAGGAGCTCAATTGCTGAGCTGTGAGCTCTGTTGTTCATTCAGGGCTGTTAGGCTGCTATGTTTGATTCTGCTGCAACAGAGCTCATTAAAAAAACCCTTTTTTCTCAAATGCTCTGTGTTGGGGGGTTCGGGCTTTATATTTGGATGTCCGTTGAGGTGTCCTGCCCAGCTAGGAGGCAGACTACTGACTGCTTTCTTAAAGTCTCTTCTATAGAGCAGATGCACTACCCAGGAATTATTCTAACTGGGACTCCAGATGGTTGTTTCTTGAGCTTCCCAGCACTGCTTGATTAGGATGTAGGTATCCCCCCCAATTTGGTGAATATATATATATGTACATATGCACATATTTTCCTTTTGTCCCACTTTAGTCTTTGCTAAGTTTACCATTATATTCTTTTGCTACATTAATCATTAAACTTTTCTCTTAACTGCATTTGAATGTAATATTCTGGTTTCTTTTGCTCATAAATCCTCAAATCTGTAATGAAGGTATATCTTTCAACAAAACACCCCTAGCTCTCAAAAATCCTGAGCATCTGTGCCTGTCAGAAAGTGGAATTCTTTACTTACCACAGGTAGGGAACCTGTAAAAGGATTGTGTAGAAGAGCTGTAAAGACAGCTTGTTGAAAGAGTTAATGTTATTTCTTTTCCTTTTTTCTTTCTTTCTTTCTTTTTTTTTTTTTTTTTTTTTAAGATGCAGTTTCACTCTTATTACCCAGGCTGGAGTGCAGTGGCACGATGTTAGCTCACCACAACGTCTGCCTCCTGAATTCAAGCAATTCTCCTGCCTCAGCCTCCTGACTAGCTGGGACTACAGACATGCGCCACCATGCCCAGCTAATTTTTGTATTTTTAGTAGGGACAGGGTTTCACCATGTTGAGCAGGATGGTCTCGATCTCTTGACCTCGTGATTCACCCACCTCAGCCTCCCAAAGTGCTGGGATTATAATCGTGAGCCACCACACCCGGCCCTTATGTTATTTCTATAAGCCAATTTTGATACCTTGAAGGAGTCTACATCTGAAAGCATGCCATTCCAGGTAAAACCTTGAAAAAATAACCAGTGTTTCCAATTGTGTTCTGTTACAAAGAATATATATGTATTTGAGACAGTGTCTTGCTCTGTCACCCAGGCTGGAGTGCAGTGGTGCAATCTCAGCTCACTGCAACCTCTGGCTTCTGCACTCAGGTGATCCCCTCACCTCAGCCTGCCAAGTAGCTGGGACTACAGGTGAGTGCCATCATGACTGGCAAATTTTTATATATTTTTTGGGAGATGGGAGGGTCTCCTAATGTTACTGAGACTGGTCTTAAATCCTGGGCTCAAATAATTCACCCACCTGAGCCTTTCAAAGTGCTGGCATTATACTTGTGAGCCACTGAACCCATCAGGAAAACAGATTTTTATTGCACTGATGCAAATAACTATATTGACATAAGTTAAGAATACTCACAGCTGGGCGCAGTGCCTCATGCCTGTGATCCCAGCACTTAGGGAGACGTAAGGGGGCAGGTTGTAGGGTTAGGGGATTGACACTATTCTGACCAAAATGGTAAAACTCTATCTCTACTAAAAATACAAAAATTAGCTGGGTGTGGTGATGTGTGCCTGTAATCCCAGCTACTCAGGAAACTGAGGCAGGAGAATCACTTGAACCAGGGAATTGGAGGTTGCAGTGAGCTGAGATTGTGCCACTGCACACCAGTGTGGTGGCAGAGCGACACTCTGTTTCAAAAAAAAAAAAATACAACTAGTTTCCAAATTTCAGAACAATTGGACAGGGAGCACTAGTCTCCATAATTTGGTTTATTGTAGTATATTTTACTCAATTGTCCAAAGTTATAAATACCGCAAAAGAAAAACATTCTTGGTTGTATAAAATAAAAAAAGAATCAGCAATATTTTAATCAAAAAGTAATCACAGATTATTTAGTCTTCCATTAGGTGTGCCCAAACTGGAGCGCAGTGACACCATCTCGGCTCATTTCAACCTCGCCTTCCAGTTTCAAAGAATTCTCGTGCCTCTGCGTTCCAGTAGCTGGAATTACAGTCGCCGGCCACCTCGCTGGCTAATTTTTTGTATTTTTAGTAGAGATGGGGTTTCACCATGTTGGAGGGACTGTTCTCAAACTCCTGACCTCAAGTGATAGGCCTGCTTGAGCCTCCCAAAGTGCTGGATTTACAGGCGTAAGCCACCGCACCCGGCCCCATTTCCTTTATTTTGTTTTATTTGTTTATTTATTTATTTATTTTTACCATTGCTCATGCCTGTAATCTTAGTACTTTGGGAAGCCAAGCATTTTGTTTTATTTTTTTGAGACGGATTTTCCCTTTTCTTTCCCAGGCTGGAGGACAGTGGCGCGTTCTCCCCTCACTGTAACCTCCGCCTCCTGGTTCAAATGATTCAGCTGCATCACCCTTCTGAGTAGATGGGATTAAAGGCGCACGCCCCGCCACGCCCGGCTACATTTCTTTTTTTACTTTTTATAATTTACTAGTCTGTTTGTTGATAACAAAACTGGAGGTGCACAAGGTTGAGTCTCAAGAGTTCACGGGGCGGGGATCAAGGATCAGGTTTGAGGGTTTCCAGCGCCTGGTGCAAATCTCGAAGAAAGTTTAGGAAAGGGCACCGAGGGTGACTCCAAAAAAGTTTTGGTTTGGCGCAGAAGGTAGGCGATCCAGCGCAGAAAACGCAAAAAATTTTCTTTCTTTCTTTCTTTCTTTTCTTTTCTTTCCTTCCTTCCTTCCTTCCTTCTTCCTTCCTTCGTTTCCTTTCTTCTTTCTCTCTCTCTTTCTCTCTCTCTCTTTCTTCCTTCCTTTTTTCTTTTTTTTTGTTTGGACGGAATCTCGCTGCTGTGGCCCAGGCTGGAGTGCAGTGGCGCGATCTCGGCTCACAGCAACCTCCGCCCCCCGGTTCAAGCTATTCTCCTGCCTCAGCCTCTTGAATATACCTTGGACTACAGGCACTTGCCACCACGGTCGGCCAATATTTTGCATTTTCAGTAGAGACGGGGTTTCACCGTGTTAGCCCGGATTGTCTCTATCTCCTGACCTCGTGATACACCCGACTCAGTCTCCCAAAGTGACAGAATTACAGGTGTAAGCCACTGCGCTCCGCCTGTGGCCGCTAGCGCTTCTTACTCGCTAATGCGGACAAAACTACACATCCATTGGCTAAAAGCTCCGTCTATCTGAGGCTGACTGCCAGCATCCCTTCCTTCTGTTTTGCCAGGAAAGGAACTGTCTGCCTAGTAACAGCTGATAGCATTTCCCATTGGTCACCATTTCCAGAAGCCCGCCCTTTCGTTTCCGGAAGCTCGGCGCGCGCAAAGTCTGCAGATGGCATGCAGGGTAACAGTGGAGAGCGTATTCAGCGGACTTGGGCTGTTCGGCCAGTCGCCGGCTGGACATAGGACGCTGGAGGGTCCGCTGTGTGGAGTCCTTGCCTTCAGCGTCCGCGGCTGGGAAATCGGCAATCGCCACGGCGGAACTGAAAGTCGGGCTCCATCAGGGCCCTTTCGCGTCCACCCTCCGGACTCCTGGGCGCTTGCGCTAGGGCTGAGGTAGTTTCCAGACCTCTAACCTGTAGTGTCTCGAGGTTAAAGGTAAAAACGGTTTTGTTTGTTTTTTTTCAGGCCGCTTAGTAAAACACCCTTTTATTTTTAGGCAGATGTTTTGTTGCAGAACGCCTCGAGGAAAGGGAGTGACTGGCGAATTGAGGTTTATTAAATAAAATACGTTGCTGGTTTATATTATGTTTATAATAAAGCACCCCAACCTTTTAAAAATCTCACTTTTTTCCAGTTTTGTTATTTAGTGGAATGTCTCTGATAAGGACCGCCAGTTAAAATGGCATTTTGTTATTGTTGCTAATTAAACCAATTTTTAGTTTTGATGGTTGTCCTAAGAGCAGCAACTTCTCAGGCTTTAGAAAATGTTATTTCTTGTGGGAAATTTCTGTGAAAGGCACAGCCAGTTAGTTTGGAATTGTTTTGAAGAAAATAAGTTTCTGGTTTTGATATCTTAGTAGTAGTATTTTCCCCAATGTCTTTAAAACCTTATTTTTAAGGCATGTATATAGAGTAACTTTTGTGAAACAAACAGCCAGGTTAGGAGGCTTTGGGATTTCCCTTATGAACTATAATCCTGGCTTTGATTTTTTTTTTTTTAATACATCTAAGGTAATGACACTATCTTCCTAAGTCCTTTAAAATGTTACTTGGTGGATCTCTTTCTGTCATAGGATTTATTTCATAGGTGTGAATGAGACACCTCCGATAGGCTCCAGGACCCTATCTTCATGAGGTGTGCAGATTCGGTGCTTTATAATATAACAGCCCCACGTTCTTCATTGGCCTTGCCCTTAATTTTCAGCACCCCTCTGCTTCTGACATTGTACCTAACATTCAGTTTCTGTGGCTGTGTGAGAGCTCTGGAAATGCCCAGCATTCGCCACTAATGTTTCTCCCTGATATTTCCCCAGATCTTCATACTGACCCTCTATTTATTACTCAGATGACTGTCCCTTCCCTGGATGTCTGCAAACTGAGGCCGGCTCTCCCCTCGACCTCCCTGCTGAGCTACCATTTTTTCCTCTCTCTCTTTTTTTGTCTACACTTGAGTTCGTAACCCTCAGCTCTTTCATGAGAAACCTTGATGCCTTCAACTGCTTCTAACTCTGGATTTATTACCCCCAGTTCCAAAATGTGGTGTGTCCTTCCATCTTGAATATAGGCTGTGGACTCCTCAGGTATGAAGCGTTGTTAGCAGTGAGACAACAGCAGTTTTTCTGTCATCTGACAGCATATGCAGATAGCCTTGAACCATTTGGAGGCTTGTTTCCTCACATCCGATACCTGGGCTGGGATGTTAGAAGAGGCTTAGCTGGGACTGAGTGCCTGTGTGTGGTGTTTCCATATGGCCTTGACTTCCTGACAGCCTGGCAGTCTCAGGGTAGTCAAAATTCTTAGGTGGCTCAGGGCTCCAGGGCAAATGCTGAGTGTTTATTTTTAGGAGATAGCACATGAAATGCACCCAGGATTAGGGAGACAGGAAAGACATCAATTCTGCCTCTCGTAGGGAGGAGTGACAAGAAATGTTCCTGCCTATTAATATATCAGACACAATTAAAATATTCTGATAGCTGCATTTCTGAGTAATTGGTCTCTTTTGAAATTCTATAAATTGTGTTTTCTGTAGTTTATGGCATTAGTCTGAGGAGGGTCAAAGACTCTCCTGTATGTTAGAAGGGTCCTGCACAGAACAGGCTCATCCCCACCCACTTCCCCTAGTATTTGAAATGCAGTTTTGCTCTGGTTTATCGGTTAGGGCAGGACTTTCTCATTTGTTTTAGACCTAACAGCTGTTTAGAAATTGAATAAGAACCTAAAATGCAGTGTGTGTGTGTGTGTGTGTGTGTGTGTGTGTGAAATTGAGAAATTGGCCTTTTTTTTTTTTTGGCTCAATTTTCTTCTGTTTGTGCTGATATTTTTCTCATCTCAATAGGAATTGGGAGCTTCTTTTCTATTCTTCTGTTTTGGATACATTTGTAGGTAAGTTTCCTGGTATTTTGGAGTCATTTTGTAGGCTTTGCCAAATGGCCTTTTTACCCTCATGTATATTGCATTTTCCTTGCATATTCTCATAGATTCTCAAGGATATTTTTAAATTTCACTATTCATGGGTTTAAAAGTATGTTTACTCTCCTGAGCTTTGATTTTCTTCTTTTTCTTCTGCCATATGTAATTTACAGAGCAAATACCTACTAGAGAGGATAACTTAAAATATGTGGAAAGTGATTTCTTTTTGCACTTATTGAGTGCAGTTGATTTTTAGTCAATGAGCATTCAGTATATGCCTGGGACTCTGGCTTAGTTTATTAGTTTTCTGATGCTGAACTCATCAATGGATGTCTCTGTTTGATTCATCATGAGGAAAGCGATGACACCGAGGGTGGCTGATTTCCAGGTTTACATCAGTTGCTCCAGGGGCAGTACCTGGCCATCATCTGGTTCTTGCTGCTCTAACTTTGCCCTGTTAGTGGAAGAAATGTGCTATAAACACTTCCTGGGGTATTACTGGCATTTATTGCCCTCACAGTTTACAGAGAAGCCCTGTCACATTTTCAGCCACTTCCTCTGCTTTCTGTCATTTCTAAACCAGTTCACCTGACCTGATGTCATCTTCATTGTGTGTCAGTTTGTTGTGCAGATGTAATTTGGGCCTACACATCTCCTCAAACCCTAACGCCCACCTCCCATGTCCACGGAACTCGAACTCAGGACCCACTACCCTCCCCAACCCACTTCAAGTTTGAACGTTTGATGGTGGACACCCCTCCCTGAGTGTGTATTATGGTGGATTCTCTTGGGTCTTGTTCTCTGTGGGTCTGTACTGCTCTATAGTGTGTAGAGCTGGTGGGATTTGCCATGTGTTACTGAAGGAGGGTCACAGGGAGTTGTTGAGCAAAGAGGAGCTGATACTACTTAAGGGATTCCCCAAGAAGGAAGAAGCCAAACCAGCTCAGGAAGATGTTCTTTCTTTATTCTTCTAGGTCCAGATTTTGAAGGAATTACTATAGAGATTGAACAGGTGAGGCTCACCTTTCAATAGTTACACCAGGAAAGGCCTAGCTGGTGACTTAAGCTATGGTTTTGTGTGGCAAAAGAGTGATCGGAGGACAGTAGGGAAGTCTACACATAACCCAAATAAAAAAGAGAGAAGACCCCTCAGAAATTAGGGAAAAGTGCCACAGTGTCTCTTTCCCTATGATGTCACTGGCATCCCCCACTGTGTCCTCCAAAAGACCCCTTTGGCCACAGACTGCAGTGCCAGTGGACAGAGAAGCTGTGGGGATGGAAGTCTAATCGCTTCGTTCAAACACACACCCCAATGCATCTGTGTCTCTTCTGATGCAGTGCCACAATGGGTAAGCTCTGTGCCTCTCCACACAGTCGATTACAAGTGGAAACATACTGTTTGCTTAGTGCTTGATGGTTTGACTGTGACCTCATGTCATGGTGATTAGAGCCAATAACTCTAACAGTTTAAGCTTGTTGGTAGGTATTTGGGAGATAGTATATGTGTTACCTAGTCTTTGTCATCTGCAACTTTTTTTTTTTTTTTTTTTTTTTTTGAGATGGAGTTTCACTCTTGTTACCCAGGCTAGAGTGCAATGGCGCAATCTTGGCTCACCGCAACCTCCGCCTCCTGGGTTCAGGCAATTCTCCTGCCTCAGCCTCCTGAGTAGCTGGAATTACAGGCATATGCCACCATGCCCAGCTAATTTTTTGTGTTTTTAGTAGAGACAGGGTTTCACTATGTTGACCAGGATGGTCTCGATCTCTTGACATCGTGATCCACCTGCCTTGGTCTCCCAAAGTGCTGGGATTACAGGCATGAGCCACCGTGCCTGGCTCTGCAACGTTTTGTTACTTTTTGCGTAAACTGCTGAGAATGCTTCCTTACTGTAGATGATAGAGAAATCACCAGTCACTCTAAAATCCTCCCATTTCTTGGTCTAGAGCTGCACCTGGATCCCCCAGCAGTGAGGAGACCTGAAGACCAGAGGAAACTAAGCAAGTAGGTCCTTTAGACCAATCATCTGTGTTCTCTTTTAATTTATTCTGTTTGTATTTTGTGTACGTCATTTTAAGGGGTTATAATCAACTTGTTCAGATCTCAGCATATAAAATGATCCATCTTTAGACATGAGGCTCCAGCCATACCCAATGAGTTATCTGGCATTTTTTTAATTACTGCCAGGTTTCAATTGTAGATAGCCCCAGAGGGAATATTTCAAATTCCCTGAGTAGTTTCCAGGTTGAAGTCCTTTAGGCTTCTTCTATTTTGAGGAGGAGTTTCTGTCAGAGAAAGATCTGATTTTAGATTTTTAGCTTTAATGCTTGTAAAAAGCTATAAAAAGTAATTTTCTGGGCCAGGCACGGTGGCTCAAGCCTGTAATCCCAGCACTTTGGGAGGCCGAGGCGGGTGGATCACGAGGTCGAGAGATTGAGACCATCTTGGTCAACATGGTGAAACCTGTCTCTACTAAAAATATACAAAAAATTAGCTGAGCATGGTGGCGCGTGCCTGTAATCCCAGCTACTCAGGAGGCTGAGGCAGGGGAACTGCCTGAACCCAGGAGGTGGAGGTTGCGGTGAGCCGAGATTGCATCATTGCACTACAGCCTGGGTAATAGGAGCAAAACTGTCTCAAAAAAAAAAAAAAAGAAAAGTAATTTTCTGCTCTTAGCTTTGAAGCACTGTTGGTGAGGAATTAAAGTTTCTTCAGGAGGATTAAACTGCCATTTCAGTTCATCTAATTCCAAAAGTTTTGGTCTTTAGAATTTTCTTTAATGTTCATGAAGAAGTGTTTTATATTTTCCATCAAGATTGATTTTCTTTAGCAATTAATTCTGAATGTTGCTTTCTTAAAACATCCAAATTCCGTTTCTCTTAGTTTTCTTTCTGTTATGATTTTTTTTGTCTTGAGACAGAGTCTTGCTCTGTCTCCTAGGCTGGAGTGCAGTGCCGTGATGTCAGCTTGCTGCAGCCTCTGCCTCCTGCATACAAGTGATTCTCCTGTTTCAGCCTCCCTAGTAGCTATAATTACAGGCGTGAGCCACCACACCTGGCTGGTTTTTTTCATTTGTAGTAGAGATGGGGTTTTACCATGTTGGCCGAGTGATTTGCCCACCTCTACCTTGCAAAGTGCTGGGATTACAGGTGTGAGCCAGTGCACTGAGCCTCTGCTACAGATTTCTAACATAACATGAAAGGCCACTTTTAATAAAAAAGGGCAAAGTGCAGAGTGAACAGTAGAGGGCACCATCAACCCCAGCATGGAAATGAGCTTCCTGCTTCAAAATGAACCATCACAGCAGTCTCAGCTTCTTGATTTGGACCCTCAATTCTTTTATAATGTGAACCTGTATTAGGGAGAAGCGGTCCTGTCTTTTAAGCCAGTCAATTTTTTTATTGGGTATTTATGCAATATTTGTTCTAAGTGATTTTCTCATTTATTGTTGTTTATTTTTATTTTTATGATTTTCTCATTTTTATTACAATGTGTTCTGTGGGCTGTCAGTGACTTCACAGTATCTTCTTCACATGTTCATAAAGCGGAGTAGTGCTGTGTGTCAGCTCAGCACCCCTAGTGTCAGCCATGCTCCTCTCCTGCTATGCATAGATGGGGGCCTAGCCACACCGGAATCCTGGGTCCCTACTATCAGCACCTGAAGGTACCCACCAGATGTGTCTGTCACTTCTGTCCATCCACCTCGATTGTGGTTCTCATGTTTCTGTCTCCCTAGAGACCATTTCTCTCTAGGGCAGTGGTTTCCAATAGAAATACAATGCCAGGTCGGGCGCGGTGGCTCAAGCCTGTAATCTCAGCACTTTGGGAGGCTGAGGTGGGTGGATCACAAGGTCAAGAGATTGAGACCATCCTGGTCAACATGGTGAAACCCTGTCTCTACTAAAAATACAAAAAAAATTAGCTGGGCATGGTGGCGTCTTCCTGTAATCCCAGCTACTCAGGAGGCTGAGGCAGGAGAATTGCCTGAACCCAGGAGGTGGAGGTTGCGGTGAGCCGAGATCGTGCCATTGCACTCCAGCCTGGGTAACAAGAGTGAAACTCCATCTCAAAAAAAAAAAAAAAAAAAAAAAAACAGGTGAAATTAATGTTTTATTTCACCTAAAATGTTAGCATTATCCAAAATATCACTTCGACATCTTATCAAAATGTAAATTATTAATGATGTAGATAGTTTACAGTTTTTCTTATATATATATTTTTTTCTGGAGACAGGGTCTTCCTTTGTTGCCCAGGCTAGAATGCAGAGAGTGGCAAGAGCATAACTCACTGCAGCCTCGAACTCCTGGGCTCAAGAGATTCTCCTTCTTCAGCCTTCCTAGTACTTCAATCTAGAAGTATATACCATGTCCAGCTAATTTTTTTTTTTTTTTTAAAGACATGGTCTCATTCTGTTACCCAGACTGGAGTGCAGTAGCACCATCTCGGCTCACTGCAACCTTGACCTCTAGGGCTCAAATGATCCTCCCACCTCAGCCAGTTAAGTAGCTGGGGCCACAAACATGTTCCACCATGCCTGACTAATTTTTGTATTTTTTTGTTAAGACAGGGTTTTGCCATGTTCATGCTGGTCTCAAACTCCAGAGCTCAAGTGATCCACCTACATTGGCTTCCCAAGGTGCTGAGATTACAGGCATGAGCCACTGTGCTTAGCCTAATTTTTTTTTTTTTTCTTCCTGAAGAGATGGAGTATTGCTATGTTGCCCAGAGGGATCTCAAATTCCTGGCTCAAGCAATCCTCCCACCTTGGCCTTCCACAGTGCTGGAATTACAGATGTAAGGCACCACACGGGTCCATTCTTTCCTTTATAGCAAGTATTCAGAATGTTTTCAAATGTGTTTTACACTTACAGCACTTCTCAGGTTGGACTAGCCATCTTTCAAGTGCTCAGCAGCTGCATGTGGCAAGTGGCTGCCTTATTGGACAGCACAGCTCTGATGAGTGCTTTTATGTACATCCCCACTGCTCTCTCTGCCTCCTTCATTCTCATCTACCCGCACACCCCTGGAGTCTGTTATTATCTTGTTCTCTTTTCTCTGTCTCTTGTGTTCCTTTAATATGGAGAATCATTTCCAATTTCTTCCCTGATTTTTTCTGTCTCATGTTCAAGGGTCAGTTTTCCTCTCATCCTCATTTTAGTGTTTTCCCGGAACATGTAACATACCTTTTTGCAACTTATTTGCAATACAAGACATACCTTTCTGCAGTTTATTTGCAAAATGTATTTGTAATACAGAACAATTGTTTTCTTTGATACCTTAGTGATTTACATATTTTCTTGTTTTTTGAGTACATCTTTCTTGTCAGAATTTCAAATTAATTTTAGAGTTAAACTAGAAAGCATGCCTTTTAAAAAATTTTTTATTTTTAAGACGTCTCACTCTGTCATCCTGGCTAGATACAGTGCCACGTCCTCCGCTTAGTGCAACATCTGCCTTCCAGGTTCAAGTGACTCTCCTGTCTCAGCCTCTCGAGTAGTAGCTGGGATTACAGATGTGAGCCACCACATCCAGCTAATTTTTGTGATTTTAGCACAGACAGGGTTTCGCCATGTTGGCCAGATTGGTCTTGAGCTCATGATCTCAGATGATTTGTCCACCTTGGTTTCCCAAAGTTCTGGGATTACAGGTGAGCCACTGTGCACAGCCAGAAAGCTTATTATAAAAGGTGTGCATTTAAAAAAAATTCAGTCTGAGTCAAAAACCTGGAAAAAAAAAGGTGTGCATTTAAAAAAATTCAGTCTGAGTCAAAAACCTGGGGAAAAAAAAAGGTGTGTATAGAGTCCCTTAGGTTTCTGCTTGATTTTTGAAATGCCATATTTAGGTCTATATATTTTAGGATGTAAGATCTCACTCTACCTGTTACTTTGCGTCATTGAACATTTTGGTAATTTTTTTTATTTTCTGTGTATTTTAGAGTTTTTATTAAACTGATATAGAATTTCATGTTCAAGGCCTGGCCCAGTAGATTCATGCATATAATCCTAGCACTTTGAAAGGCCAAGGCTGGTACATCAAACTTTTGAGGTGAGGAGTTTGAGACCAGCCTGGCAAACATGATGAAATCCTGTCTCTACTAAAAATTTAAAAACATCGGCAAGACGTTGTGGTTCATGCCTGATCCCAGCACTTTGAGAGGCCGAGACAGGTGGATCACCTGATGTCAAGGGTTTAAAACCAGGCTGGTCAACATGGCAAAACCTCATGTCTACTAAAAATACAAAATTGCTGGATGTGGTGACATATGCCTGTAATTCCAGCTCCTTGGGAGGCCAAGGCAAAATAATTTCTTGAACCTGTGAGGTGGAGGTGCAGTGAGCTGAAATTGCAGCATTGCACTCCATCTTGGGCATCAAGAGCAAAACTCAGTTTAAAAAAAAAAAATCGACTGAGCATGGTGGGGGGTACCTACAATCTCAGCAACTGAGAAGGCTGAGTGAGGAGAATCGCTTAAACCCAGGAGGCGAAGGTTGCAGTGAGCCAGGATCATGTTACTTCACTCCAGCCTGGGAGTCAGAGCAAAACTCCATCTCAAAATAAAAAAATATATATTTGTTAATATCAAAAATGAAATTTAATTTTACAAATTTCTATTTGAGACCAGGTGCAGTGGCTCATGCCTGTAATCCCAGCACTTTGGGAGGCAGAGGCAAAAGGATCATGAGGTCAGCAGATCGAGACCATCCTGGCTAACATGGTGAAACCCTGTCTCTATTAAAAATATAAAAAATTAGTGGGGCATTGTGACACACATCTGTATAGTCCCATCTACTCAGGAGGCTAAGCCAGAAGAATCACTTGAACCAAGGAGGCGGAGGTGTCAGTGAGCCAACATTGCACCATTGCACTTTAGCCTGGACAACAAGAGCAAGACTCCATCTTAAAAAAAAAAAAAAAAAAACAAAAACACTTGAGTGATAGTATTATTTTATTTATTTATTTATTTATTTATTTATTTATTTATGAGACGGAGTCTCACTCTATCACCCACACTGGAGTGCAGAGGCATGATCTCAGCTCACTGCAATCTCTGCTGCCCAGGTTTAAGCAATTCTGCTGCCTCAGCCTCCTGAGTAGCTGGGATTACAGGCGTCTGATACCATGCTCAGCTAATTTTTGTATTTCTAGGAGAGATGGGGTTTTATCATGTTGGCAAGGCTGGTATTGAACTTTTGACCTCATGATCCACCCGCCTTGGCCTCCCAAAATGCTGAGATTACAAGCATGAGCCATCATGCCCAGCCAGAGTTATTTTCATGTAGGAAAGGTTCCTCAAAAATAGGTGTAGTGATTGTGTTCTTTCCTATGCTTATATGGAAAATGATGAGGGAACAGGATGTTAGAGTTGCCATGAGAGAGGGTGGAAAAGAGAGATTCCAGAGTGCCAGTCACACAGGTTTTCTGGAAGGTTTACATGGGACTGTTGTGGTTTGAAAGTGTTCCCCTAAGTTTGTGTGTTAAAAACTCAATCCCTAACGCAACAGTATTGAGCAGTAGAACCTTTCAGACGTGGTTAGGTCATAAAGGCTCTGCCACCATAAATGGATAAAGACAGAGTGGGTTAGTTATCTTAGGAAGTACGTTCCTGATAAAAGGATGAGGTTGGCCTTCTTTCCTTTCTTTTTCTCCCTTCTCTCATATGTGGTCACTCTCTTGCCCTTCCGCCTTCCACCTTCCATGATAGGATTAGACACAGCAAGACCTTGACTAGATGGAGGCCGCTCACCTTCCCAGTGTCCACACCTGTAAGACAAATAAACTCTTGCTTATAAATCACCCAGCCTGTGGTATTCTGTTATAGCAACACAAACAGACTAAGATTGGACACTCAGCGAGCTCAGCTGTCTACTTGATGCAGCACTCTCTGCGTGGTACCTTGTATTTTTAGACATGGTGCTGTCAATGCTGTTTTGAGTTATGGGTAGATTTTTCAATGAGGGCAGAGGGCAAGAGGAGTGAGAACCATTTTTGAGGTTGGTGGGTACCCCTCCTGTAGGGGTGTGAGTTAGGTCCTGTGAGGCTTTTGTTTTTAGCTAGGGTGTGGTCATTTTGATCATAGTAAAGAGGCCACTCAGGATGGGGAGGTTATTTGAAATTTTTGGGTTTAACCAAGCTCCCCATGTTGCCCAGGCCCTCACAAATTAAAATTGAAACCACCAGCAGAATGACTGACAACCAGCCACATGACCCAGGCAGACATGGAGACAGGCTCACCAGAAGAACAGGCTGACGTGCAAGAAACAGTCCTCCAGTGCTCAGGGCGCATGTACCCCAACACACATGGACACAGAGATGGACAGAGAAAGAGCGAGAAAGGGGAGAGGAAGAAATGAGAGAAAGAGAGACATAGAAGCACACACACAGACACTGCAACATCCTCATGCAGCCCCTGAAGCTGCCGGTTCTGTCTGCCACAACAATTTTTGTGTGAGAGCAGCACATAGGCACACAGGCAGACCTGTCCTTGAAATCCCAAAGGTCCGACTTTTTGGGAGACTTGCCTGCAAACCATTTGTGCAGGCCTGAGGCTGGGATCCTTCACTGCTTTTCCACATTCTTCCTGAAGTTTCTGCCTTCTGGTCAACCCTCTGTGAATCGTGGCCTCCAGAGACTATTCTGTCCACATTCTGGTGAGGACTGGCCTTAGCCCGGAGTCTGACATGCTGACGCAGAAGGCTGTGCTTGGGGAAGTGGCAAGGACTCATCTCTGGGCAGCCATGGCAGTCTCTATGATGCCACCACCAGCTCACAATTAGTGCATGTGCATTGTCAAGGCAGATGGTGCTCCACTCTTGTTTGGGCTGCAGCCTCTGAAAAACATTGCTGGGGCTGTGTGCTCCAATGCGACTGCTCGTGTGTGTCTTCGGCCAGAAGTGCCTCATTCGCTGGAGGGTGGTTTCTTGCACGTCTGCCTCTTTTTGGTGAGCCTCTTTCTCCATCTCTGCCTGGGTCTTGTAGCTGGTTCGGTGACTAGAACTGGCAGTTATTTTTCTGGCTGTTCCACTTTCAGTTTGTGAAGGCCTTGGTGAGGTTTGGTGCTGTGTCTACAAATTACCTACCCATTCTGAGTGGCCTTCTTCCTAAAATCCTACACCCAGGAGCACAGGATTCAGATGTCTCTCAAGAATTAGGAAGTGCAGATTATTGCAAAGCACATGATAGCTGACACTGGATAGATGAGATGAACATGGCCTTGTTCATTACCCATTCTTATGGTGCAGGGAGGGAGAGCCCAGCATACCATGCAGGGTATAGTGTGTTGCACTCAGGAGCAGAGTAATCAGGTGGAGGCTGAGGCTTTTCCAGGATGCTTTGTAAGTATGCAGGTACTGTGTCCGGCCTCTGAGGGGAGTGGTTTGGATAGCGAACCTTATTCAAAGGAGTACAATGGGGCAGGGAATTTGCAGTTAATCCATTAAGCCCACCTTGTTTTCACCCAGTGTCAGAGCATGTATAATATTGAGCCTTAATAGGAACATATGACTGTGATTAGGAAACCTGTGGAGACCCTTTGGCTGCATTTGCTGTGGGATAGCCAAGGGAACTGATACGTGGTTTCCAGATTATAATATGTCTCTGAATACTCGTGTGATCTTACATATTTACTATCAGTTTTCATTTGTTCGGTGCTGCTGTTCTTGCCTGGTATTGTTATCATCATTTCAAGAGAAATCTCACTGTTGCCCAAGCTGGAGTTCAATACTGCAGTATCGGCTCACTGCAAACTCCAACTCCCAGGTTCAAGTGATTCTCCTCCTTCAGTCTCCCGAGTAGCTGGGATTACAGGCATGCGTCACCACACAAGCCTAATTTTTTTATTTGTAGTAGAGACAGGTTTCACCATGTTGACCAGGCTAGTCTCAGTCTCCTTGGAAAATTGCTCATGTTGAAACCCCATCTATACAAAATATACAAAAAATCAGCCAGGTGTCGTGAATTGCTTGAACCCCTGGGGAACAAAGGTTACAGTGAGCCAAGATCATACCACTGCACTCCATGCTGGGCAACAGAGCAAGACTGATTCAACAATTTTTTTATTTTTTTGAGGTGGAGTTTTACTTCTGTTGCCCAGGCTGGAGTGCAATGGCACAATCTTGGCTCACCACAGCTTTCGCTTTCCAGGTTCAAGCAATTCTCCTGCCTCAGCCTTCTGAGTAGCTAACATTACAGACATGCACTATCATGTCCAGCTAATTTTGTATTTTTAGTGGAGACAGGGTTTCTCCATGTTGGTCAGGCTGGTCTCAACTCCTGACATTAGATAATCTGCCTGCCTCAGCCTTCCAAAGTGTTGGAATTAAAGGTGTGAGCCAAAGAAATTTTTTTTTTTTGAGACAGAGTTTTGCTCTTTTTATCCAGTTGCTGGAGTGCAATGGCGTGATCTCGGCTCACTGCAACCGCCGTCTCCTGGGTTCAAGCAATTCTCCTGCCTCAGCCTCCTGAGTAGCTGAGACTATAGGCATGTGCCACCATGCCCAGCTAATTTTTGTATTTTTAATAGAGACGTCGTTTCACCATGTTTACCAGAATGGTTTCGATCTCTTGACGTTGTGATCCACCTGTCTCGGCCTCCCAAAGTGCTGGGATTATAGGCGTGAGCCACCGCACCCAGCCCAGAAATTTTTAATAAAATATGTGGGTATAGACCAGGTGCAGTGGCTCATGTCTGTAATACCAGCACTTTGGGAGGCTGAGATATGAGGACCACTGCAGGCCAGGAGCTCAAGACCAGCCTGTACAACACAGCAAGACCCCACCTCTAAAGAAGAAAAAGTGTGTGTGTGTGTGTGTGTGTGTGTGTGTAATATAATAAACAAATGTGGGTATCAGTCATTGTTCACCAGTTACTCATGCTGTATAACATACCACTTCAGACTTAGTAAAAAACACAACCTTTTTTTTTTTTAAGAGATGAGGTTTCACCATGTTTTTCAGGAGGCTGGTCTCGAACTCCTGACCTTGTGATCCGCCCGCCTCAGCCTCCCAAAGTGCTACGATTACAGACGTGAGCCACCATGCCCAGCTAAGACAACCATTTTAACATACTCTCTGATTCTGTAGGTTAGAAATTCAGACAGCTCACAGAAGAGACAGTTTGCCTCTGCTCCAGATGTCTGTGGCCTCAACCAGGAGGATTCAAAGGCTGGGAGTGATCTGATGTCTGAGAGCTGCAATCCTACAAAGTCTGCTTTGCACACAGGTCTGGCACCTGGGGTGAGAGGACTCAAACACTCAGACTAGTAGCCTCTTTATGTGACTTGACTTCCTCATAGCATGGTGGCTCAGGGCACTTGGAACTTCTGACATGATGCCTCAAGACTTCAATCACAGGAGTTTCAGCTAATGAGGTCAAGGTCACAGTGCCTCTTATGACAGGCTTGGGAGCCACACAGCATTGCTTACAAACAACAAACCAATCGAGATTCAAGGACAGAGGAGTTAAACTTCACCTCTGAAAGTGGGAAGGCAAAATTCTAGAAGAACACATGGTACAAGCCTTTTGTTGCAACCACCTTTAAAAAATACAGTTTGCCACAATTACCTTTGGAATCTAGAAAACCAATTCATTATTCTAAAACTAATAATTCTGAAAACTAATGAATATGAATGAAAAAAATCAAGCATTTCTCCTTCCTTTTCTTCGCATACTATCCCTCTGAGTAATCAGATTAAGGTGGGAGGAGTTTATTTTTATAAAAGGATTCCAGTAATAATGGCTGAAAGAGAGACAAAAGAATAAGGTGATTGTTTTGCAACTCCTAACAACATAATGAGTCTAGACAGTGATCATCAGTGAATGCATGACATTATGCAAAAGGCAGCAACCTTACAATGGGTAAATCACATGGATTACACTTTAACCTGCTAATAAATTTGATCACAAAAACAGTGACAAGCAGATCTTACCAAAATAATTGAACTTGAATTTGATGAAGCCTCTGGAGCAGAGTTTCTCTACTCTGACACTATTTATATTTAGTTCCACATAATTCTTTGTTTAGGGTGGGAGGAAGCTGTCCTGTACATTATAGGATGTTTAGCAGCACCTAGATTCCTAATCAATAGGTGCCAGAAATAGCATTCTTCTTTCCAGTGTGGTAACAAAAATATCTCCCAGCATTGCCAAATATCCTCTGATGGGGGGGAGGGGGAGACACAGCTGGTTGAGAACTACTGCTCTAATTAATGACCAGATATTTTAGAGGAAATATAGAGAATCTGATATGTTAATCAGTACCATGGGGGTGTACTGAAACGCAGTATGTGGAAACTTCATATGCTCTAGTATTTTATTTCTCCAAACAATAAATATCAAGAAAAAAAGGGAAGTCAATCGATTTTTAAAAAAGTAAGCCAGGAGAGGTGGCTCATGCCTGAAATTCCTGCACTTTGGGAGGCCAAAGTGGACAGATCACCTGAGGTCAGGAGTTCAAGATCAGTCTGGCCATCATGGTGAAACCCCATCTCTTCAAAAATATAATTATTTGGGAGGCTGAGGTGGGTAGATCGCTTGAGATCAGGAGTTAGAGACCAATCTGGTGAACAAGGTGAAACCCCTTCTCTACTAAAATACAAAAAATAGCCAGGTGTGGTACACCTGTATTTCTAGCTACACAGGAGTCTGAGACAGGAGAATCGCTCTAACCTGGGAAGTGGAGGCTGCAGTGAAGCAAGATCATGCCAGTTACTCCAACCTGGGTGACAGAGCAAGACTCTATCTCTAAAAAAAAAAAAAAAAAAAAAAAAATTAGCCGGACATGGTAGCATGCACCTGTAATCCCAGCTACTTGGGAGGCTGAGACAAAATAATCACTTGAACCCGGGAGGTAGCGGTTGCAGTAAGCTGAGATCATGCCATTGTACTCCAGCCTAGGTGGCAAAATGAGGCTATGTGTGTGTGTGTGAGCTTTATTATCTAACTTGAACATATAGATCTTGTTTAAACTTTGATTTGAACAAATCAAATGCAACTAATTATGTGATTTTAAAAAATTATTTATTTATTTTTTCCTTTTTTTGGAAACAGGATCTTGCTCTGTCACCAGGCTGAAGTGCAGTGGTGCAGTCATGGCTCACTGTAGCCTCAAATTCCCAGGCCCAGGTGATCCTCTCACCTCAGTCTTCTAAGTTGCTGGGACTAGAGGTGTGTCCACCATGTCCAACTAATTTTTTTGTATTTTTTTTTTTTTTTTTGTAGAAGCAGGGTTTTGCCTTGTTACCCAGGCTGGACTCAAACTCTTGGACTCAATCCATCCTCCTGCTTTGCCCTCCTAAAGTGCTGGGATTACAGGCATGAGCCATAGCACCTGGCCAGGAATTGTTCATTTTCTTAATGTGATAATATGAAGAATGTCTTTTAAGAAAATTTCTTAAAAGAAGTATATTTCAGCTAGGCACGGTGGCTCATGCCTGTAATCCCAGCACTTTGGGAGACTGAGGCAGGCAGATCACCGGAGGTTAGGAGTTTGAGACCAGCCTGACCCAACAAGGGGAAACCTTGTCTCTACTAAAAATAAAAAATTAGCCAGACATGGTAGTACATGCCTGTGATCCCAGCTACTCAGGAGGCTGAGGCAAGAGAATCACTTGAACTAGAGAGGTGGAGGTTAAGGTGAGCTGAGATCGCACCATTGCACTTCAGCCTGGGCAAGAAGAGAGAAACCCTGTTTCAAAAAAAAAAAATATTTTGTGCTAAAATATTTATAGATGAAATGTCTGGAATTTTCTTTAAAATAATGGAGTGGAAATAAGGATGAAGCAAAACTGACCGTATGTTAATTGTTAAAGCTGGATTCATTTTACTAGGTTTTTTTTTTAACGTATATAATGTTGAAAGTATCCATAATAAAGAGCTTGAATTAAAAAAAAAAAAAATACCTCCTTTCAAGCACCACTCAAATCAGTAAGCACTAATTTGGAAGGTCGTCCATAAGGTCTTCTCTAGAAAGAAATTGCTGGACCCAGTATTTAACTGATAGCACTATTCTGCTTTGCCACTAACCACAGGGGACCCAATGACACATTGCTGGGCCTGTACCAAGGTGATGTGACTCTCATTTCTTGTCTTGGTGATGCCCCAGCGGGCATTGTGACATATCACTGGGCTTTGCACCCAAGATATTTGGCCTTTTGCATATGCGCCTGCCCACATGGACCATTGAGATGTATTGCTGAGTCCAACAGTCAAGTGACATATCTCTCCTGCTTGGGCCTTTCTACAAGGGGATTTGACATATCTCTGTGTCTATTATCTAGGTGATGTGACTCTTTCTTCAACCTGGTGTCAGCCTACAGGAAAAAATGTGAGACATCTCCTGAGACTAGCACCTAGCTGATGTGGCTTTTCTCATTTTTCTAGCTTCTGCCCACCAGGGAGATTGTAACATATATCTTGTCCCAGCACTATGTTAATGTTACCCTTTTGCCTTCATGCTGCAATCACAAGACATATTTCTGAGCCCAGCACCAAGGTGCCGTGAATCTCCTGCCTGGATCCTGCCCACAAGTGGCATTTTGACATATCTTTGAACCCATTAAAGAGTTAATGGGAACTTCTCTCCTGTGAGCCTTGCCCTGGACCATCTGCACAAAAGAGTAACTGATCACTGAGCCCAGCACAGTGATCACAGATAATGTGACTCTCCTGCCAATTCCCTGCTCTCAAAAAGATTGTGACACATTCCTGGAGAAGTACTAGGTAATGTCATTCTTCTGCTTGCTCCATGTATGCAAGTAGGATTGTGACATATCTTTGCTCAGGTGACTGGTGTGACTGAGCCAAGATATATGTCACAATATATGTATTGTGTGAGGTATAAAATGACTTTTATACCTCAAACTACCCAATATGGGTAATGTTCTAAGTCTTCTCTTTGTTGGAAGGTAACAGAGAGTTACCACTTTATGCATGTTATATAAACACATCGGGTGGTACAAAGAGTGTCAACACAAAGCCCAGCACACAGGTGAAATTGTGTTTTACACATACACACCCTGCCAACCATTTCATGCATTGCATTCACACATCGACAAAGTCCACTGATGAAGTTTTAAATCTCACACGGGAATGCAGCTTACAATTGGAATTATGTCTTTCATGTAGAAGATTTGGCCATGCTTGGAATGCTAACTCATTTCTAAATCCACTCATAGGCAGGACTCTCCTATCTGGACCGAGCAAACTGGAGTGACGTTGACTCATATCTCGGTTTAGGGCCACAGATATAATCACTGATCCATAGCAGCGTAAATGTCAGCATGATTTGTGACACTCATGCACACTGTATAATGCCATCAGTTGGTACAGAGAATTTTCACAGGGCCCAGCTGACAGGTGGGATTGTGACACTCATATGAACATCTCAGCTCAAAGTAAAGATGGTGAACTTCCTACATCAACACGGTGCAGTGCTGAGGTTCTAAATCACACCCAGAGGCAGTGAGATTTTTTTTTTAAGGCTCTGGTACATAAATATGATCCACATGTGGGTTGGTGACTCTCAGACCAGAATTCAGCACACCAAGGAGGCTGGAACTCTACTAAGTCAACACAGTCTGCAATAGAAATTGAGACTCTGATGCATAGATCTGGTCATGTAGCTGGACCCAACATTCAGGACGTGTTCACTCCCATACCTAAAACTGGGATATGTGCAGGATTGTTAATCTCATCCCTGGACCTTCCTGCAGGTGGGATTGTCACATATCATGTGCCCAGCACCCAACATGATTTGAGTCTCCTATCTGACCCAGCCCACAGATGAAACTGTGATGTATGACTGGACCCAGAACCCAGGTGATGTTATTCTATTTTTCTCCTTGGCCCTGCCTACGTGGATCATTGTCACACAGTTCAAAACCCTGCAGTCGGCACTCAGGTTATATGTCTCTTCTGCCTGTGCCCAGATCATGTGGGTCATTTGATATATTTTTTGGATGTCACCCATGATATGTATGCCTCCTGCCTGGGGTCTGCCTACAGGGAGCATTCTGACATATCTATATGTGAATCACACAAGTGATGTGAACTTTTTCTACTGCCTGGTTTCTGCACACAGGGAAGATTATGACCTATCAGTGGGCCAACATCTAATTGATGTGACTCCTTTTCTCAGGTTCTGCCTACAGGAGAGATTGTGACACATTGCTGGGCTTGGCACCAAGGTGATTTGAGTCTTCTGCCTGGACCCTGCCTTGTAGGGGCATTGTGGCATAGCTCTAGGCAATCACCTAGATAATGTGACTTTCCTCTTCTCTTACCTGAACTGTGCCCATACAATAGATTGTGGCATATCTTTAGAATCAGCACCTGGGTGATGTGACTGTTCTCCCTTGCCTGGCGATACCCACAGAAGACAGTGACTTATGACTGGGCCCAGCATAGGTGACAGAGGGCATGAGAACATATCGCTGAACCCATCACCTGGATGATGTGACTTCATCATAGGACCCATCTACGTGAGGAATGTGACATATTGCTGGGCCCAGCATCTATGTGATGCATCACCCCTCTCATGCCTTGCCTCTTTAAAATGGAGTGATTGTGACATGAAGCTGGGCCCAGCCCCTGTTATGTGATTCTTCCTTCTGAGCCCTACCCACAATGGGGCATTGCAACAGA